CGAACGGGCCGGGTCACGAAGGATTGTACCAGTAGTGTGGGTATCTAGTGTTTTTTCTCATGGCCGGTTCATTTTTTAAAATTCTTTTTTGGCTGATTTCTCTTTAGTTTATCTTTTCTACTTTCTTTTGGCTTTTATTTCATTTTAATTTCATGCACATTTACTTTTTATATAATTGCGAAAATTGCTAATTCACAATTTTTTTAAAAAAATGAACCTATTCAAAATTTTCACCTTTTTAAAATACGTGAATGTTGTCAAATTCATGTTTTTTAAATTTGACTTTTTTTAAATGATGAATTTCTTTAAAATTCGTGATATTTTCCAAATTTGTGATCTTTTTTCAAATCCATGTAATTTTTAAAATTCTTGAACATTTTTCCAAATACACGATTGCCTTTATCAAATTCATGAACTTTTTTGGATTTGTGATTTTTTCCTAAAATTCATGTACATTGTTATGGCATTTCCTGGTCTTTTCAGAAAATTGCAAATGTTTCCATAAAAAATCAATGGTCAACAGTTTATGGCCAATGGTCGATGGTTAGATGTGAAAGGTTAAGCTATTAGCGGTTAGTAGGTCAAAGGAGTCAGCGGTCAAAAACAAATCCTTGGTCACGTAAGAGTCGGTTTGTTGGGTCGACCCACAAATCCTCTCATGTTAGCGATGGTTGCGTTACTTGCCACAACAAGCTCTAACAAGGAGCTCTCCTTAATTAAAGTTTGTGTATGACCATACGAGATCTATTTTGGAAGCGAGCCTCGAGAAACATACCTCGCAAGTTTGGTGGTCCATTTTTTAGGGAAGAGATACCCTCAAGTTGGGTCTCATTAACATGATTGGCATTGGTGAAAACACGAAGATTTTGGCATGATAACTGGATCCCACGGTATTTTAAGGTGCGACTGGTTTGCCAAGAACCTTTACATCCATCATAGCTCATGGGAGGTGAAAGCAATTGAAGAACATTTTTATGATATGGACAATGACATTGTCTTGGCCCAAGGGTATCTCACCACATTAGTTCCCAGCATGGTGGATCGGGCTGCATACCCCTAGGCCGGTTCCGTCCTAGATCATGTTGGGTAGCCCATAACGTTTATACGAAAGGCTACAGAAGACTTGTCGTACAAGAAGAGGATGCCGGGGCCGAGAGGACTCTACCTCCACTGACATATTTGGCCAGGATCTATAACCCTAGAACCATCAGTCTGCTATATAAGCAATATGACAGCTCGTCAATAGATCATCATACAACTCCTTCGGTTGTATACATGTAATTTATACACCCCTATCGCAGTATACATGATCAGGAGTAGGTTAATACCTCGACCGAGAGGGCCCGGACCAAGGTAAATCTTTATTTTTTGGGCGCATAATTATAAAATTTCATTTCCAAAAGGATAAAATATCTATAACCATGTGTGTGACCATAAATTAGTATACATATAACGAAAGTTTAGATCACGCGTTAGATGGAGTGTTTATCTGATGTTAAATTGGTTTATGAAGTCCAAATTCAGATTGTAGGTTGTTCATAATAACAATGAGAGTAAATTCAGACTGTTTTCTATATCCGATGCTAAATTGATTTGAAGATCTATCTTTCTTGGGCCTATTAACTAAGAATATTTTTATGTTGGACTTATAGCTCAATTCTCTTTTGTTGTTGATTATGTGTTTTTCATACATTATGCCATGAATATATTTGAGGCGTGGATCAATGGCTAAATAATCACACAACTTTATATGAATATTTGTTATGGTGCTTCTAGAACCATTTGAATTTTGATGGTATTTTCAAATGAAAAAAGGGAATAAATTGCTTAATGAACTCAATACAAATATATTCTCGTAAAAAGATTAATACATATATTGACATCTTAGTAGGTAATGCTTTTATCGTTGTGTATCTTCACCCACATAAAATTTTCAATCCCATGGCACCGCCGATATCTTTATGAGCTGGCCACAAGGATCCTATGATATTATTAAAAGAAGTATGCACCAGACATGTGATTGGGCGTTTTTCTTTGTGCGAGAATTACGATGATATTTTGTTGTTTCGACCATAAACTCTTTAGTATAATAATAATATATTAATATTTATTACTACCTCCAAACGGGCGCATATGGCATGCGCGTGTTCCTCGGTCATCAATTTTACTAACAAAATACATGTTATATGCCACCAAAATTCTATGTTTAGAAACTTTGTTGAATTACAAATCCAATTACATGCTTTTTATGGTATACGATACATGTTTTGTTAGTCAAACTAAGGACATAAAACCCGCGCCAACCTTATAAATTTTACAAAAGGGGGTACTTGTTTAGCTGCAATACAATGATCTGTTTATTGTGATCTTGTTAGATACACTTGGTAAGACAAACCGTTTGGGTGAATGCCTACCTTCTCTACTCTATTCGATAGGCTCCGTAGGAGCAAGTGATACACCAGTAAAAAAAAGTCTACCACATGCCGATAGTTGGATGTTTTTCTGTGATCGATTTGTAGTGTATCCCTCATTTGTTGTACTATGTCTTTGTATCGAATAAATAGATCCAAGAATTCCTAGGCTATGTTAGATCAACGTGAAATTTGTAGCCTAGACATAGTTCTTTTATGTTGTACTTCTTTTATGTTGTACTATGATGGTTATGACTTTTTATTAGTATTGGTTAATACAAATCAACTTGTGGATTATTTTCCAACTCTTTAAGAAGTATGAATTGTTACCACTGATACAACTTTTGGGATTATCAGCATATTTGAAGATCTATCTTTCTCGGGCCTATTAACTAAGAATATTTTTATGTTGGACTTATAGCTCAATTCTCTTTTGTTGTTGATTATGTGCTTTTAATACATTATGCCATGAATATATTTGAGGCGTGGATCAACGGCTAAATAATCACACAACTTTATATGATTATTTGTTATGGTGCTTCTAGAACCATCTGAATTTTGATGGTATTTACGAATGAAAAAGGGGAATAAATTGCTTAATGCGCTCAATACAAATATATTCTCGTAAAAAGATTAATACATATATTGACATCTTAGTAGGTAATGCTTTTATCGTTGTGTATCTTCACCCACATAAAATTTTCAATCCCATGGCACCGCCGATATCTTTATGGGCTGGCCACAAGTATCCTATGATATTATTAAAAGAAGTATGCACCAGACATGTGATTGGGCGTTTTTCTTTGTGCGAGAGTTACGATGATATTTTTCTCTTTTGATCATAAACTCTTTAGTACTCCCTCCGTTCCTCTTTTCTTTGTGCATAACTCCCAGCCCAAATACCAAGGAGCCCTTTGGATAGAATATTTTGGACTATTTTGCCCTTAAGCTGGTGTGATCTGCATGAGATACGGGGGAGCAAGCGTGATTAATGAGCATGCAGGGATTGGCTCATTCCTCCCTCTGCTTCGTTCTACTCATTCCACCCCACACACTCCCAATCTCCTCTCTGCATGCATGCAGCTGAGTAATTGCTAGGAAACGAAGGGGAGGGTAGACTAGGAAAGTAGTGCTTGTTTTGGCTGAGGCGCAGAGTAAATAGGGAAAAACCACAAAAAGTTATACGCAGACTATTTAGGATCAGAGGGAGTATATAATAATAATATATTAATATTTATTACTACCTCCAAACGAGCGCGTAGGGCATGCGCGTGTTCCTTGGTCATCAATTTTACTAACAAAATACATGTTATATACCACCAAAATTATATGTTTAGAAACTTTGTTGAATTACAAATCCAATTACATGCTTTTTATGGTATACGATACATGTTTTGTTAGTCAAACTAAGGACGTAAAACCCGCACCAACCTTATAAATTTTATAAAAGGGGGTACTTGTTTAGCTGCAATACAATGATCTGTTTTATTGTGATCTTGTTAGATACACTTGGTAAGACAAACCATTTGGGTGAATGCCTACCTTCTCTAATCTATTTGACATAGGCTCTGTAGGAGCAAGTGATACACCAGTAAAAAAAAGTCTACCACATGCCGATAGCTGGATGTTTTTCTGCGATCGATTCGTAGTATATCCCTCATTTGTTGTACTATGTCTTTGTATCGAATAAATAGATCCAAGAATTCCTGGGCTATGTTAGATCAATGTGAAATTTGTAGCTATTTTCTCTAACTATAAAAATGTGTGTGCTTCATATAGTAGTCTAGAACAACTGGATAGCCGTCTACATATATGTGCCTTGTGTAGTTTGCCTCTATTTAATTGTTTGCCGTCAAGAACATAGAGTCGAGTAAATCTATCGCACGTATTTTGGAATAACCGTGAATAAATGAATATGGTGAAATGTTGACCATATGAGCAAACACCTAATAATATAAAAAAAATGTTCATATTTTTCATTAATATCGAAGTTTGTAAAATCTTTATTTTCTTATAAATCAATATGGAAAATTCAATAATTCTTGAATGAAAATAACACATGTGAACTTGAGTGCATCGTCTAAAATAAAAGTTATATAAAACTTTTGAACACCTAATCTAGGATGGTTATGACTTTTTATTAGTATTGGTTAATACAAATCAACTTGTGGATTATTTTCCAACTCTTTAAGAAGTATGGACTGTTACCACAGATACAACTTTTGGGATTATTTACTCCTAACCGCAAATTAGAATTCTACCAATGCAATTTTTTTCTGGCACGTGCTTAGTTTTTTTTTTGAGATAATGCCACGTGCTTAGGTGGTTTTTTTAAACGCATGTCTGTGTACGAAAAACAAAGAAATAAACGAAAGGAAAAGAAAGCGTTGAAGCCCCTCCACCTAGGGTTCCATCGAGAGAGGAAAGAGGGGATCGGGAGTCCGAATCCAAGCAGCAACTCCTCCTTCCCGAAGCAATCAGAAACAGGCCCTGTTTCAAATCCAGTCTCCGAGTTTCCCATTGGTGTCGGGAACTACAGCAAACTCTAGACACGCACTTTTCAGAAGAAGATTGACCAGCAACGCGGCAATGGCGAGGACCAGTCGCCGGCGAGAGGCTGCCAAATTGATGGCCAAACCATCGGTCAAGGCCGAATCCTCCCTCGACAAGCTGGTGAGTTGGTCCTCCAAATCCTTTTTCTTATAACATTACCCGCAAAAATTACTATTTCTCACAACAAGGGATAGTAAAAAGTAGGAACCATAATCAGATTTGCGCCCTTCTGTGGGAAAGTATAACAAATTGTCATCAGCAGATCTACGAGGGAGCCATGGGGGGCGTCCTTAGCAAACCAGGGGTCAAATTTCAGCCTTTCACACAGCATTCAAATTGCATCTTTTGTTAACAAATTAGTGCTATCTTATAACCAAATCAAAGCTGCGTCTTTGCGACAGTAGACAAATTTCATCTCGGATATTGCGTATTTTTATGTAATGTGATATCAACTCTGATTTGTTCCAATGCCAAATGCAGAAAGTCAATCCAGATGATAGGATCAGCAAGTTGCCCAACGACATACTGGTCAACATTCTAGACCGTCTCAATTTCCGTGACGTTACAAGAACCAGTGTCCTCTCCAGACGTTGGAGTCAGCTTCCTGCCAATCTCTCACGGCTTAAAATAAGTGCTCGCGATTTTCTGTCCCCACAAGCTAGCATACCTGATGATGAATTGGATGAAAAATTGCTTCGGATCAATGCATTGCTTAGGATCAATGCAGTCAATGCAGCCAATGCAGCTGTGGTCAAAGCGACAAACAGCACGCTGGCACACAGAGATCCAGGTGGATGCACCATCTGCCTCTTGAGCACGACGTTCTACTTGAGAGGTGATACCCCAATATCTGTTGGGCATACTGTTGGCAATGCCATGGCGACACTCAAGGTCGAGAAAGCCGAATTCACAGTTTTGACACAGCAGAAAGGACGCGGGTGTAGTATTGTCACATCCCTAGTCTGGTATGACTTAGACTAGCTAGCTATTTGTGCATCATATTTAAATTTCATTTAAATTTGAAATGAGGATTGGTGGAAACCTCAGAATCATTTTTTTGAAAATGACCCAAATAAAAATTTCTCCAAAAGGGTCCAAGAAAATGCTCATGTTGCCCTCTGAAAATATTGGACAGAGATAAAAATCAAAACAATATTTTTAGGAGCTCATGGATATTTATTTTGGCCATTTGGTTTAATTCGATAAATATTTGCATTGGAAATATATTTCTATATATATGAAATATGGTCCAAAAATTATGCCAATTATAAAAGAGCTCTGGAATAATATATCTAGCTCCTGCAAAAATTGGCATAAGGAAATTAAATGATTTAATATATTTATTAAATCAAAACAAATGTCAGAAAAACTAGAAAACAAAAATAAAAGAAGGAGGGGCTTACCTGGGCCTCCCCTCCCCTGCGCAGCCCAGCAGCAGCAGGCCGGCCCAGCCAGGAGGCGGCCCAGCCCGCCTGGCCCCCCCTCCTCTGTCGTCTTCCCCCCCGACAGGGGAACGGCGTGTGCCCGACGCTCGCCGGCACGCGCGCGCGCCACCTCCCCCCCTGCTGGCCACCTCCTGCTTCCTTCTCTCGCCCTCGATGCCCCGGACGAAGCCACGCAGCTGCCCCGCACCGCTCTCACTCTCCCTCGCCCTCCTCCTCTCCCCCTGCTCTCTCTCTCTCACCCGAGAACCA